GGATCTCCACTGGCCGACACTTGGAGACGATCGCTCTGATTTTCGCGATGTGACCCAATTTTATCAGGAGTTTGAGGACATCTGCGGCCTAGCCAACTCTTGCAAAGGAATGAGTGCGAGGGAGATGCTGTTAGCACTCCGGTCCAGATGCAGGGGTAGTCGTCTGAAGACGTATACCAGAACCTGTACAAGACCGCTTGGCAAGCCGGAGAGGTTGTGAACAGCCCGGAAACGGTCTACGAGCGAATCAAGGCTAAGCACCTCGTGTTCAGTGAGTCCAGAGAAGAACGTGAGATTCGCATCGACAGCGAGCATGCCAGCCTGGCAAAGGGGAAGCTTATACCGGGCACCAGTTCGAACCGTTGTTTGAGCATTCAGTGGCGGAGCTCGAGTCGGTCGGCCTTGGCAAGACTCCTCGAGAACTTTTCCTGAGCTATCTTCGAAAGGTCAGCCCTACGCTTCAAAAGGAGATCAGGGGAGACAAGAGGCTATGGGGCTCCGAAGCAGTTCTGAGCGGACCTCAGACATGGGAAGAGGCCCACAAGGTGGTCCTCGAATTTGAGCAACGGGAGGCAACCAACCGAGCTACCGCAAGTGCAGTCTACACACTCCATGGTGAAGGTGAGGACCGTCCGAGTGGCCGACCAAAGCACCCGAAGAAAGTGAAGAAGGACGCTAAGGAAGGCCTGGCATCGGGTGCAAACCCTGAGCATCGAATATTGATTGTAATCAATAAGATAACAAAGATATTGATTTTGGATTTTTTCAATATTTCTAATTGATTTAGTTTGCCATGAAAATCAATAAGGAAATCAATAGCCAAAACAACTTTTGTAGGGCTTGAAATCAATAGCAAACAGCAGTAGTTTGACCTTGTAAATCAATACAGTTCAAGGCCAAGGATATAGAGTTCAGCAGCCTAAGGAGCTCCAAAATTGCTCTTTTTTCCACTTGTCAAAGCTCCATAGGCCATCCTTTTGTCAAGGAGGCTTAGGCCTACCTTTTGGCAAGGTAAACCATGCAAGGTGAAACAGGATTTCTAGCAACTTCCTTTTGCCAAGAAAGCACAAGCATGTGCAGATTCCCTTTTGTCAAGGAAAAGGCTAGTACTCTAGGTCACTGTCTGGTGTGACAGCTCCTATTTCAAAGCCAAGCCTGGTGAGCTGCATATGGAGCAAAATTCGATATTTCACCAAAAGTTTAGCACTTAGCCTTGTGCTTTTCACTCCCATTGCAATTGAACTTCCCAATCGTGACACCCTGCCAACAAAGTCCTCTGCTCTGAAATTCCATGTATACTTGGGATTCAAAAATTGAAAATTTTTGATGAGGTGGTGCATGGCATGGAACTTCCAAACTATATGATAGAGCTTTCTATCATTTTCTTGGGCCCACTGGTTGAGGCCCCAATAGAGCTCACAAAACCTTTTGTCAAGGTTGAGAGCTTCAAGGTGTTCCTCTTGGGTGGGGAACATATCGGCTCTGTCAATCAAATTCACCAACTCAACCATTGACTGCAAAGCTCCTACCATGTGCTGGTGCAATGCATCATCTGCATCCAGCATTGCTTTGAGAACTGGAAGAAAAGCTGCCAAGAGGTGTTTTGTTTCAGCACCTTTGCAGTCAAGCTTTGGGTACTCTTTGTGTGGCTGCCTTGGATCACAAATCATTGAGAGTTTCAGATTTGTTAATCTTGTGCTGGAACCGAGCAATCTGCAATTTTCTTGGACCTGGTTGAAGATAAGTGCTAGTCTATCACCAGGTTTCTTGGTCTGTTTTCCTTTTCCTTGAAAATAACAGAGATGGTGCAGCAAAGATCCCAATAGATGATTGCAAACACCTTTGCAAAACAACACATGTAAACCGTCCTGCCTCACCATCCTAGTGGTCAGCCCTGGGATGTTGAATAAGGGGTGGGCATGGCCTTTTGTCAAGGCTGCAGGTGTATCGATGTATTCATAATTCTGGTCATTGGCCAAAAGAAGTTTGAAACTCTTGCCTGCTGGGCAGGGTTCCTTTTTGATCATTGGCTGCATACAGTCGCACTCATGGCAAGGTGAGTAATTGTTCCAGTGGGGCAAGGACAGGATGTTGGAGAACATCTCCTGATCTCCTTGCACTGACCAGATGCAGCATCTGAACCCCCTTTGTGTCAAAGGTTGCCCAGCAAGCTTTTCAAACACAGACCCTTTTGGCAAGGGTCCATTGTTTGGGCCATAGGATGGATGCACACCATCCTGCAAAGCTTCAAAGGACCATAGGATCCAATCCATCAAGGGTTTCCAAGTTTTGTCATGTATAGTACAAGATTTGGGAAACCCAGCAATCAAGAAGTGAGAAGTGAGGCTGCTGTATGCATTGAGGAAGCCACCCCAATTCCAAACCAGCAAAGAATCTCTTTGCTGGTACTCTACACCATCAGCATGCAAAAAGAGTGGTATGGTGAGGGACTTGTCCTGCACCTTTCCTTTGGCAACCCCAGTCCTTTTGTCAAGGCATATGGGGTGAGCCATGAGCCTGTCATCTTTCACATACTCGACACCTTGCCAAAAACTTTCGAGGTCTTCCACGCCAAAGATTTTGTCAAACTGGTCTGGATAGTGGTTGAAAATATCTGAAAACAGCAGGTGAGGGAGCATGACACCAGCCATGTCCAAACAAGGCTTGGAAGTTTTAGGGTCTTGGCATTCTGTTTCCACAGATATTCCCTTGCTGATTCGGCAATCTTTGAGGAATTGTGCACACATATCTCTATGCACATTTCCTCCCTGGGCCCCAAAAGACCCTGTTGCTGCTATTCTCTGAAGGTCTTGGCCTTGAGCACCATCTAGAATGGCTTTGTGTGCCACTTCCTGCACTAGCTTGGCACTCAGCTGCCCATGGCTCCAAAGAGATAGCAGCAGCTCAGACAAGCCCCCTTTGGATCCTTCCCCTTTTCCTTTTGTCAAGGTTTCAGGGATTTGCTTAGCCACTTCCAAATCTGTACCCCTCAGCCTCTTTACTGGCTTCATGGTGGTGACACTAAAGAAAAAACCTTTTGGCAAGGCATGCTTTCCTTTAAGGAAAAGCTTGAACCAAAACCTTGCACAAAACATGCTTTAGACACCCCTTGGCCACACCAACCTTTTAGAGCCCTTAAGCCAACCTGCTGGTTCTCCCAAACTTTGTGGTCCCCATGTATTTTCAAAGTTTTGGTGAAACCCAATACCCCAAAAAAACACGGTGATTTGGTGGTGGATTACCCCCTAAGCCACTGCTTGGTTGTACTGCAGCACTTTTTGAGCTTGGTGCCTCAAATCTGTTTGTCCAACCCAAACCCTTCACCACCCCTTTGGTCAAGGAGGGAAAGGTGTAAGCCAGTTGGGGTGCAAATCACCTTTTGTCAAGGCAATAAGCTGTGCAAGCCATTTCCTTTTGGCAAGGTAATGGCATCATCAAAAAAAGGCTACCCCTTGCCACAGCCAGCTATACATGGACCCTTTTGTCAAGGGTCCAAGGGGCCCTTTAGACAAGGGCCACCTGTGGCTGCTGGTTGTTCTAGTTCTTGCTGGTTTTGGAAAAACTTCTGTTTGCCAATGCTCTGAACTCTTTCACCTCCTTTTTGATTTTGTTGGTGGCTGCCACTGCACCTATGATGTTTTGCTTTGCTGACTCCACATTGCCTCCCTTGCTTTTGCTTGTTATTGCCTTGAGCTTTTGCTCCCACTCCTGGGCTTCTTTCAAAGCTAAGGTGGCATCTTTCCTGTCCTGCTTGGAAGTTCTGCCTGCTGCAGTGGCAGCATCCAAAGCTTCTTGCAAATTGGCCATGGCCACCCTCAGCTGTTCTTTGCTCTTTTGTGCTTTTGTCAAGCACTCAGCCCATTCTTCTTCTGGTGTTTTCTTGTCCTTATCTTCATCTTTGCTATTCTCATCTTCACCATTTGTAAGGGCCAGCAAGCTTTTGGCCCTTCCTTTTCCCTTACCTTTTGGCAAGGTATCTTTTTTGCCTTTTGTCAAGGCACCTTGGCCTTTGAAAGCAACCTCAGCTTCTTGCATGCTGGCCAAAGCCCCCTTGCCCCAAAAGGCCAAAAACTCCTTTTCATCTTCTTCTGTTTCCAATTCCCTTTCCTGGCCTGCTGTCACTTTGTTTTTCCTTTTCAATACTGTTTGTTTGCTTTGGTCTCCTTGGTCGCAATAATTGTACACTCCAGGTGTCCATGGGTCAGACCTCCAAAGAATCCTGCCACTGTTCAAGTGCATGGTGAACTCTTCCTGGCTGAATTCTTGCAGCATTTTCATCTCACTGACCCATTTCTCACCTTTTGTCAAGGTTTCACTTGCTTCTTTGGAAGCTTCTGTGTGGAAGAACATACCTTTCTTGTGCTTGAGAAACCAAAGGACTACCTCAAGCCCTTTTTCCTTTTTTGTGAGTTGCTCATGGGCTGATCTCTCTTCTGGCTTGGCTTTCAAATATGTTTGGTGTTTTGACCACATCTTGGCAGATTCATCTTTTGTCAAGGAATCTTTCAAGGCCAAGGCAGCTTCCTCTGGAGACTGGTTTTCCTCACTCACTTTTTTCACTCTCTCATCCAAACTCAGTTTGCCAAGCTTGGCAAGGTCACCTTTTGTCAAGGTGCTTTTCTGTTTTTTACCTTTTGCCTTGGCTTTGCCCTTTGGGCAAGGGAAAGCTTTGGCTGCAGGTTTCTTCAAAATTCCTTTCCACACATGTTTTTTTTTGGTGGCATGGAGCCTGGAAGCCAAACCTTTTGTCAAGGCTTGGATAAAAAAATGTGGTCAAGGATAGCGGTATTTGTCTTGGGCCAAAAATATAGCTATGCCAAAGAGTTCAAACTAATGAACCAGAGTTTTCATGCACAGCCAGCCTTGACAAAAGGCTTTTAAAAAAAACAGTGAACCTTGAATTTCACCTCAAATTTCAACAGTTTCCAAAATATCCTGGCCAAAAACTAGCCAATACCATTTTGATTAATTTTGACGAATTTTGACCAAATTTGACCAATTTTGACCAAATTTGACCAAATCATGGTTTTTGTCAAATTTGGTCAAATTTGGTCAAATTTGTATTTTTGTTTTTTTTTATGAAAGCATTGTTGATCACCTTTTGCCAAGGTTGAGAGCCATCAAGCCCTGACTAGTTGGGCCTTAACAATTGTTTTTATCCCAAAGAAGCAACATTGAACCCATGATGATTTCCTCAATTCTGTGCACTTTAGTTGGATTGCTAATATGAATTTCAGGTTTCATGAAATTGAAATCCTTGAGAAATGTTGTGTTCAGAATTTATTGCAAACCTGGTTTAAGAAATGTTTCCTAGCATTCATTTGATGGGCTAAAAGTTTTACATGACCTTATTGCACATATATATTTCTATTTATTCTTGAATTTATATGCATGAAATATTTCCATTGCTGTTCCAACCTGTGAACATACCAAAAAAGGTACACAAACAAAAAAAGAAACACTATACATAACTTCTTTAATAATATAAAAATAGTTTAATTTAATAATTCATTGGTTATATATATTTGTTTATTTATTTTTTTATTCATTCATTTATTTATTTGTTTACTTGTTTATTTATTTATTTATTTCACTTTTGCTTATTTGATTTATTGGGTCTTCACCAGGGCCACCCCCTTTTGTCAAGGAGGGGCTTGAAACCCAACTGCAGCCACCATCTCTTTTGTCAAGAGGCAGTGGCATTTTTCAAAAAAAACACTACAGCCACCATCTCTTTTGTCAAGAGGCAGTGGCATTTCTCAAAAAAAAACACTAAAGGCATATCTCTTTTGTCAAGAGACCTGCCAGTGAGGACTGTACAGAGTGTGGGGTAGCTGTGCAGCTTCATGGGATGCCATTTTCTTCCTTTTGTCAAGGAGCAGTGCAGCTCAAGTGTTTCAGCTAACCTTTTGTCAAGGAAAGCTTGCACAGCCTGGGCAAAGGACCTGTAGGTATCAATCCCTTCCCAGTATTTCTCATCCCACTTGGACACCACAGGGTATGTTTCAACACCCCATCTGCTGCATTCATCAATGACCTCCCAGGTGTCATCAAAGACGGTTTTGATGTTGTGGTAATAGCAGGCCTGTGCTTTTCCATAGTTTCCAGTCTTCTCTGTTGTGTAGATTTGCTTTTCCCAGCCCTGCCATACCTTCCAGCTCAGTCTCTTGGTTTCTTGGGCTCTGTCCCACCCTGAGAAACTGCAAAGGTAGACCTGGTACCCAGCATCTTTCAAAGCATCCAAGGCCCTGATGTTTTGTGGGGACACATTGTCATGCCATTCCAGGGTGTGGTGCCAATCCACTGCGACCTTTTCAGCTTCTTGCAGAGCCAAGGGTGGGCTTTCTTTTTGAACCCATTTTTTTTGACCCCTTTTGTCAAGGGGTGACTGGCTTCTGCTTTTCTTGGGGGGTGACTCCTCAGATTCACTTTCAGTCTCAGTGTAGTACTCATACTCACTGGAGCTAGAAGCACCCCAATCCACAACCTCTTGCACTGGTGGCTTTTTTTTCCTCTCAGGCTCCTTCCCTTTCTTAAGTTGCTCTTTGGATGGCCCAAAAGTCTTTGGTGCATCACTGCCTTTTGTCAAGGCATCTTTCTGTTCTGGTGCATCACTGCCTTTTGTCAAGGCATCTTTCTGTTCTGCTGCTGTGGGCTCCTCCTTTACAACTGTTTTGTCAACAGCTGCTTCCTTCACATCCTCCGGTTTGACAGCTTTTTTGTCAAAAGCTGCATGTTTTTCTTTTTCCATGTCCTTTTTCAATTCTGCCTTCTCTTCTTTGCTGGCCAAGTTATACTTGATCTCCAAGGCTGACATCAGGTGTGGTTTCTTGTTGCCATGTCTCTTGTCTTTCTCCCAGTCAACCTTCTTGGAGTGTTCATCTTCTTTCTCCATAGTGTCATTCTCTCTTTTCATTCCTGCTTCTCTAAACCTGGCCCTTCTTGCATTGCTCACAGTGCCTGACCCAGTTTTTTTCCCTTTGTTGTTCTTCATCCTTTTGGCAAGGATGCTGCACAACAAGGCCTTTGGTCAAGGCACAAGGCTGCTACCCCCACAGGCACCTTTGGTCAAGTTGCTGTGGAAAACAAAAAGGTTTGAGCAAAAAAGGTGCTGCAGAAAACAAACAGATGGCCACAGCACTGGTGCAAGGAACCCTTTTGTCAAGGGCCCACAACATGCTGAAGTGCTAACCTTTGGGGGTGGCATGTTGTTTTGAAATGGGAGGGTGAAAACACTGATGGCTAGCCCCTAAAACCCAAAGAGTTCGATTGTTTCTTTGAGAAGATTGTGGGAAACCAAACCATCACAACACTGTAATCTGTCCATATCAAAATGGTATCCCCCCACGAATTCTTTGAATAAACTAATATTGGCTAACTTGGATTTAGGTGCACATATGCCTTTGTTGTTGTTGTTGTTGTTGTCGTTGTTTTTTTAAAAAAAATTGCCCTTCTCCAAGAAAAACCAGTATGCATAGGTAAACCAACACATACACATATGTATACCACCATATTTAATTGCCTATGTATGCTTATGCAATATCCATCATTTTGCAAACACCTTAGGAATATATATATATATATATTTACAGGTGATGATTCAGCACAACCTAGATGGTTGGTATTGAAACTTGAGCATGTTTTGCAGTTTTTGGCTTTGTTTTTCTGTTTGGCAAATGGCTGCACAAGTCCCTTTTGGCAAGGGCAACTATAGTGAAACCTTTGCCATGGGGCCAGCCCCTTTTGTCAAGGAGATGGTGCCACTTGCAACACCACACCTTTTTTCAAGGTAGGCAGCTGCTTAAAAATTGGAAAACATGGTCACCAGCACAGGAGCTCAGCCCTGCTCTTGATGGCTTCTTCCTTGGTGATGTGTTCATTTTCAAGCTTTCTTTTGATGATCCCAATGACCTCTCTGTACTTTGGGCTTTGCTTTCTGGTAACCTCAATGATGAGCTGTGCTTTCTTCCCTGGCCCTGTGCTGCCTGTCAAGTAGGCCCTTTCTGGGTTGGTTGGGTATGTAACATACACCTTGTGCCAGGGTTTTCTGTTGCTGCTTGAGCTGGCTGTGCTGCTTGCAGGTTTTTTTTGCTGTTTTTTTTGATGTTGATTCCTTTTTGGTCCCTAGCCCCATGGCTTTTGTCAAGCCTGTGTCTTTGTCTTGGGGCTTCCATGATGAAGATTGGGCAGCCACCTTATGACCCTTCCTCCTCTTCATGAAAGAACCACCTTTTGGCAAGGGGTCAGCTTTGGATGGCAAGGGTTCTGACTGGCCAGGGCTATTCAGACAAGCTGGGAACCCTGATGAGTTCAAACTTACATCACTTTCATGTTTCTGCAGCTTCCTCCTTTTGTCAAGGGGGGGTGTCTCTGCCTTCTGTTCTTCCTCCTCTTCCTCCTCTTCCTCCTCTTCCTCCTCTCCCTCCTCTCCCTCCTCTTCTTTTCCCTCCTCCATACCCCTTTTGTCAAGAGGCTCCTCCTTATCTCTTTTGTCAAGAGGCTCACCATTACAACTATCATTTCCCAGCATGCTTACCAATTTTTTAAGCTGGAGGCAATCCTTTCCTGTCAGTTTCCCCACACACTTTCTCATTTCTTCTTCTGATTTCAACCTTCTCAAGTGTAGCAAAATGACTGTCACCCTCTCAGCCCTCATGTTTGTCCATACTTGGCAATTCCAGTCGGTTTGGTTCATTGCAGGTTTCTCTTGTACCAGTTTCATGATGCTTTGTCTCAGGGGGTTGGGGTGAATTTCCCCAGGAGGAGAAATTTTCAGCAGGTCTTCAAGAAGTGGCAGACAGTGGATGAGACCTTTGGCATCAGTTGCTTGGCTCCTAGAGACTGTCTCATATGCTCCAAAGCTTTTGAGCAGCTCTTCATGTGTGTGAAAAGCCTTGTAGAGAAGGTATGGGTCCACATAGGGTTTGGCAAAATGTTTGTGCCCCCCTTTGCCACTCATTCTCAACCCACCCTTTTGTCAAGAGAGGATTGAACAAAGAACCTTTTGTCAAGGCACACAGCTGGTGACAATGAATAAACCTTTGCAAGCAACCTTCTGTCAAGGCAGCTGCACAGCCTTTGGACAAGGCTGAGGGTGAGACACAAAAGGTCCCTTTCTGAAGCCACAAAACTGCAGGTTCTCAATTGATGAAGCCAAGAGAAATCAATAACCCTGAGGGTCCAGGGATTGAAATTTTTCAATCCAGAATTTTTTCAATCCGGATTGAAACGTCTTCGTTATTGATTTTTTCAATAATAATATTGAAAAAAATCAATATTTTATTGAAAAAAATCAATAATTATTGATTTTTTTTTATTGAAAAAATTCAATAATTATTGAAAAAATGAAGTCTTAATGATTTTGTTTGTAGATATATTATTTCGAGATACCTGCAGCATTTATCTAACTGCTGATGTGTTGAAGGGAATGTGCATCCAGGTTGGAGTATTATATGTATGGCAATTGGTTTCTGCAGCCCTTTCTTTGGCTCAATCAGTTTTTTTGTTGCAAATTCTGAGGCTTGAAAAAAAGCCATGGAGAAAGACCATGGGAAAGGAGGCCTGGAAAAAGGCCAAGGCACCCGAGGTGGAGCTATCAGGAAGCCTAGCTTGGACATGAAAGAGGAAGAATTGTCTCAATTCTTTGACGACATAGTGAGAAAGAAAGGAGCAAAGGCTTTTGATTTTGGGGTTTACAATACCCTTGATGTTGCTCAGGCAGCATCTGCTCAGGGTTTAATGGAGTGCCAAGCGTGGCTCAGAGGCATCTTGCCACTGTGTGATGGCACTCCCAAACCCCTACCATTGAAGAAGCAGGTACTCAGGTTCACTACATTGAATGAGACTGACATGAAGCACAGTGTTTGGGCAAGTTCCATTAGCAGCAAAATAATCACCCTTTTTAATCATTGGCGAAGGCTGAAAAATAATCTTGAGAGAAGGAGGCAATGTCTGCAGAAAGCTACAGAGGTAGAAGCCGAGAGGCTTGGAAATTTGCTGAAGCTGGAGCCAGGGCATGGGGAGGCATGGAGAAATGCCAGCAGTGCCAGCTCGAATGTGGAGGCCTGCAAAAAGGCCAAGAAGGCCAGCCTGGAGCCTGAGGAGCCATGCAAAGGTGCCATGGAAGAACAAGAGGAGGCTTGTGACAAGGCCAGTGACATGGAAGTTGACAAATCTTGGCTTGGAGATGATGGGATTTCTGAAGTGTCCATTGATTCGAAAGGCAGAATTGTTCAAAAACTTGACTTTGTGAAGGCAGAATTCTTCACAAACTTGACTTTGTGAAGGCAGAATCCTTCACAAACTGGACTTTGTGAAGGCAGAATCCTTCACAAACTGGACTTTGTGAAGGCAGAATTCTTCACAAACTGGACTTTGTGAAGGCAGAATTCTTCACAAACTTGACTTTGTGAAGGCAGAATCCTTCACAAACTTGACTTTGTGAAGGCAGAAATCTTCACAAACTGGACTTTGTGAAGGCAGAATTCTTCACAAACTTGACTTTGTGAAGGCAGAATTCTTCACAAACTTGACTTTGTGAAGGCAGAATTTCCTTCACAAACTTGACTTTGTGAAGGCAGAATACAAACTTGACTTTGTGAAGGCAGAATTCTTCACAAACTGGACTTTGTGAAGGCAGAATCCTTCACAAACTTGACTTTGTGAAGAGATCCTTCACAAACTTGACTTTGTGAAGGCAAAATCCTTCACAAACTTGACTTTGTGAAGGCAGAATTCTTCACAAACTTGACTTTGTGAAGGCAGAATCCTTCACAAACTTGACTTTGTGAAGGCAGAATCCTTCACAAACTGGACTTTGTGAAGGCAGAATTTGGACACAAACTGAGACTTTGTGAAGGCAGAATTCTTCACAAACTTGACTTTGTGAAGGCAGAATCCTTCACAAACTTGACTTTGTGAAGGCAGATCCTTCACAAACTTGACTTTGTGAAGGCAGAATCCTTCACAAACTTGACTTTGTGAAGGCAGAATCCTTCACAAACTTGACTTTGTGAAGGCAGAATCCTTCACAAACTTGACTTTGTGAAGGCAGAATCCTTCACAAACTTGACTCTGTGAAGGCAGAGTTCTTCACAAACTTGACTTTGTGAAGGCAGAATCCTTCACACACTTGACTTGTGAAGGCAGAATTCTTCACAAACTGGACTTTGTGAAGGCAGAATCCTTCACAAACTTGACTTTGTGAAGGCAAAATCCTTCACAAACTTGACTTGTGAAGGCAGAATCCTTCACAAACTTGACTTTGTGAAGGCAGAATCCTTCACAAACTTGGCTTTGTGAAGGCCGAATCCTTCACAAACTTGACTTTGTGAGGGCAGAATTCTTCACAAACTTGACTTTGTGAAGGCAGAATCCTTCACAAACTTGACTTTGTGAAGGCAAAATCTTTCACAAAGTGGACTTGTGAAAGGCAGAATCCTTCACACACTTGACTTTGTGAAGGCAGAATCCTTCACAAACTTGACTTTGTGAAGGCAGGACCCTCCACAAACTTGACTTTGTGAAGGCAGAACCCTTCACAAACTTGACTTTGTGAAGGCAGAATCCTTCACAAACTGGACTTTGTGAAGGCAGAATCCTTCACACACTTGACTTTGTGAAGGCAGGATCCTTCGCAAACTTGACTTTGTGAAGGCAGAAACCCTTCAAAACTGGACTTGTGGAGGCAGAACCGTCACAAACTTGACTTTGTGAAGGCAGAATCCTTCACAAATTGAACTTGTGAGAAGAATTATTCACAGCCTCACACTTGACTTTGTGAAGGCAAAATCCTTCACAAACTTGACTTTGTGAAGGCAAAACCCTTCACAAACTTGACTTTGTGAAGGCAGAATCCTTCACAAACTTGACTGTGTGAAGGCAGAAATCTTCACTAACTTGACTTTGTGAAGGCAG